GTTCAGAAATGGAATTTTCTATTCGGAACATACGTACAGACAGACAGACAGACATACAGACAGACAGACATACAAACAGACATTCAGCTTTATATATAAGATGTAGCCTTCATTAGTCAGGTGGTCCAAACCAAATCTCAAATTTTCTCAAGAACTAAAGCTTGTAAAAAGCTGAAAATCCACGTTTGTACTTTTACAGATTTGTAGTATACATCTACTTATGTGGGGACGACACAGCATCACTTTTACAAAAGCATGAACATTTTTTTTCGATTTCTAGCAGAGGAAAAAATATGGCAAAGGTTTACATATATGTCTTATGTGGATAGTGTCTACGTGAGCAAGTTAGAATTTTTGTAGAATTCTTACAAACTGAATTACAATTTTTCTCGATTTCTCGGGTAGTTGAATCTTTTTAGTTTTTGGCTCGAAACTCGAGGTGGATCAGAGCTCTTGCTAAAACAAAAAGGCCATCTTGTAGAGCTTCTTTGCTCTATCAAATGGTACCTTTAAAGCTACTCAGGAATGAAAAGTGTATGACTTGTTGCGGTTGAAATTCAAAAAGGACATTAATTTCCGGACAACCTAATATATCTTCAATAATTAACTCTTGTTTAGTTCTGCTAATTCAAATTTTCACAAGTGAAAAATGACCTCGTCACACAGCTGCGGGCAGCAATTATTCACACTAGTTATCTGAACTGATAATACTGCTGTATAGCCTTTATCAAGGGCTATAACGATGTTGTGTTCTTTCAAAAAACACGAGCCTGATTATTTTATATTTTCAAAAGTTACTCTTGATTAGTTCTGCTAAATCAAATTTTTAAAACGTTTGACACAAAGGAAATGTGAGAGTGTCATCTCATCCAGACGGGTCTGTTAGGATATATTGAAGCGGTTATGTGAGATGTGGTTTTAAACCAAACGAAAAGTTTTCTTGATGCTACGTTGAACCGGGTTCGTGTTTCTAACCATTGCTTCCATGTCCAAAATGGAAAGTCCCACCTTGCAACAGGAACTTCTTCTTTACTTCCATTATATTGGTGACTGTTGCATAGTGTGCTCCATTCAGAAAGAGTAGGACACCTAATTTGTAGTCCACCAGCAGTCTTCGCAAACAAGGTCCACCAGAAAAAGAGCTCAAGGGTAGTTGGCCACTATTTCTGATGTGCTCATGTATTTAGCAGAGGGAGAAGGAACAAAATGATGCCGAGAACCTAGCATAAGAACATTTTGGTCTACTATGATTTAGCACACCCATGGTCCATCAGGAAGGTTATCGCGAACCTGTTCAGAACAGTTAGAAACACCGCATCTAAGCAGAACGACTGGAGTCGATGTAATTTGCGAACCAACTTGCGGAGTACTATGGGTATTTGGAAGGCATGCTGTCGATCTAAGACTTGGATATATAGCTGAGATGGATAGGAATTTTGTCGAAAATAAGATTTCCTTTTGTTTGACCTACATACCGGAGGAAATGAGCAAGGCAGTAAGAGCACGTATACGCAGGCGGGTCTACAGGTTTCAATTAAAATTGCAGTATTCCACAAAGTAATTTAGAGCGGCGGCCAGTACGAAACCGAGCCTACGTCGTCCTTGCATAAACCCCAAAGCGTTATTTGTCCCTTTGTCGGAGGTGGAGATGCACTGTATCTGATGCAGTTTACCTCATCACGTGCCTTTCATACAGAGAGTAAGTTGGAGGGAACAGGTCGAGTTCTGTTTGTTTGTATCAAGTAACAAGTGTGCTCAATAAGTGAAAAACTTAGAGGACTGTATAGGGTAAATCTAACCACTCGATTACTGCCGAACCTGAATGTAGGTCCCAAGAGAGGAGCATCCGCGTTGGTCCGATCCTCTAATATGGTTTCTGAATGGAGATAATGGACCTAAAACAGCGAAAGTACCATCAATCCCCTCCCAGATCCTATTAAGCTCCGCCTAACCACGGACTGCCTTCCGACATATAGTGACATGGTAGTGAGCAGGAGCTGCACACTGCTTCCTCCTCTAAGCTGGCATGCCGGCGGGGGCAAGCAGTCCGAAACTCGTTTGCGCTCTCAAGACAGAGTCCAGAAATCGGTTTTCCTAGAGGTATTAATTTGATTCTAGCTGTAACTAGGGCCACGGAATACCCCGAGAATGACAAAAGCATGAGAGGCGATGTTTTGGGTCTACGCTGCCTTTAAAGCTTTTGGGAGCGCACCGTCAAAAATATCAAAGCGTTGTTGCAGTTGACGTAAAGGTCACTTCTGTCGTGGACCGAAATTTGTAGCATGAAAAACTCTCGAAATGTTTTGGGTACTGCTTAAAAAGCAAGATTAAACCGCAAAGACGAATGTGTAACAGTACACACGAGCTTGCCTTCTGCCAAACCTTATGTAAATTTGATCTACAGAAGGATGAGGTTTGGTTAGTGTACTGCTTGGCGGATTCTCAATGCATAAATATGCGTGTAATACTCCGTGGCTATCATCAGTCTCTCATACGGGTGGCTTTGGCTCACTAATCACATTACGGTGTATACTCCTTGTTCTTTTCCAATCATTTTGAGCTTGATGGAATAGATTTCTGAGGTCAGATGCGGCGTTTGAGGGGATACGTCATAAGTAGTTTATATCCAGGCTCTGACAAAGGCGAAGACCCCTAAACGTCACATCAATAAAGATCATAACTGTTCAACGCTTAAACACAAAATCAATATCGAGTATGCTTATCTGTTGGGAATACATGTTGCTTCAACTAAGAGTCTAAAGTATTGTTGACCCGCGGAATTGTAATTCAATTTTTGGACTTCTTATAAAAAGATTCTAGGAATTCTTGGAATTAATGTCTTCTAGAAAGCAGCACTTTTGAAAGCTATTTTTGCAGCTATCTCAAAGAAATCGTTGAATTCGAACCTAGATGTCCTATTCATTTGCAGACGTTCTTTTTGTGTTGTACATCGTGATGATGGCGCAGGCGCTTTTATGGGCGAAAATGTAACAAATTAAGCATTCTTGTGCATTTAATTGAAAATGATTGGAATTGCTCAGCTCTAGACCTTGCTCCTCTTTTTCCTTTACTGTAACGGTCGTTTAATCTTGTATTCTGCATGCATTGAGTTCTTGCATCTCGTGCCCCATCTCTTAGCTTGCTTGAGAATGTTACACTCTATTTGTGGCTGCTTATGTATTTGTGCATTATCGCTCGTATTTCGGCGCTGTGAAAAATTCCTGGAGACCCCACTACTGGTTTTGTTAATACAGCTTATTTAACACGTTGACGACCGCGCCATTTTGGACGAAACTCCCACTAACGTCCTTCGCGCATTTGGCCCGTGCATACGCGCGGATGCACGAAAACATTATGTGGGAGTCTTTTTGACACTTATTAATAAAACATGCAAACTTTGTTCAGACATACAGGTATATTACAGAGCCTTACCAGGACTCACATAAATCAAGGTTTTTGCATCGATTTTCCCTCCAAAAATCCATGCAATGGCTATATCTGAGGAATCGCTCTTCGAGAAAAGCGTTGTAAAACCAGATGTTTTTTGCCTGATTCATCTTTCTTTGATTTCACAACAGCTATACAGAGTTTTCACCTTCTCGAGAAAACGTAATTAGCATGTATTGACTACATCAAAAACGTACTGATTACCCAATTTTGCGGCCAAAACTTCTGAACAGCTGCCGCGAAGCCCTGTGTTCTGTAAGACAATCAGGCCACTAATAGTATGACTGCATAGAAGTTACCTTACTTTTCGCTTGCACCTAAAAAACTAGCGTGCATATGCGCGGATGCACGAAAATGCTAAACGGGAGTCAGGGCGTGCATACGTGCGGATACACAAGGTCGTCAACGTGTTAAATGCTGATTTTGGAAATATTTTCATGACGCGCGATAATTTCTCGAAAATCGTATTTTCAACGACTGCTTGTACCTTCTGTAAGCAGCGTGTCATTTTCGGGTGTACAAAGCGGAAAAGTACCCGTAGTGGTGTTTGGTAAGATGTACGCTGACTGGACTTGAACGGAAAAGTACCCTAATTTCACGCGTATAAGGGAATTCAGAATTTGACCAGCCCAAACAAGCCAAAGGACTTCGCAAGCAAAGGACACCATAACGTGCTGAATATTGCTTAGGAGAATCATGCGGTACAAGGATCTCTTTCCGAGCTATAGTAACCGGCAAAGCGGCTCGCTTGAAAAAACGAAAAATGTGCACCTTGTACGCGTAAGATTAGGGTAATCAATGAATTTCTAATTCCGATGGCATCGTCGAATATTCCTGGATTGCAGCGACATAGTTTGAAAGAATCTTAATCGCCCTAGCGTAAAGTTACTTCATTTGAATTCAAACACTAAGGCACCGTCCATCCTAAGTGAAGGGTTGAGCTTTTGACAGCATGTGATAGTAGGCCCCTATCAAGCAATGTTCAAGTTGCGGTGCAAAATGTCACCTCGAAATCGAGAAAATTGCTCCGGAAGCTCAACGAAGAGAGCAGAGAACCTCTAGGCGGCACCGCCCCCTCCTGCCCGCCCGACCATCACCGTTACGGGTACGGCCCCGCAGCTCTGGAACGGAGATTATCGGGGTTTTAGCGAATTCTCGACTTCATGTTCGAAATTAGAGACATGAGAAGGCCCGTAACGACTGCAACAGGAAGACGTGAATTCGAACGGTGCCTTCAGTGCGTGCAAACTTCAGGCTGAAATTTTTTTTTGAAGTAACCTTCCAAATACAAAAATAAGTTTTACATATCCTTGCAGGTGTTGTAGATGAGATACTTCCTGTTGTTATTGCAGTCTTTCTCTCTAAATTGTGTTGTAGATGAGATACTTCCTGCTGTTATTGCAGTGTTTCTCTCTAAACTAACTTTTTAGATCTCTTAAAAAAGGGTAACATAGGACTGTGCCGCTAGTGTAAGCTTAAAGGAAGCAAAAGATTAGTTGTGTTTATTAATGCAATTTCACATTAATTGCACAACAACTGGGCCAGAACAACTCTCACACATGTTTTTTCATCTCTCGACGATATCGTGGAATTGGAGCCAAAGGGCCAGGTGGATGCGGTCCTTGCGGAATTTGAATGTGAAGAGGGGGAAGAATGTTGTTAGGTGGTCCGGGAAGCTGGTTCATCGGACGTTGTGGAACTTGGTTACCCGGGCGTGGTTGTGGAACCTGGTTAGCGAGTTGTAACAATGCATCAACGGGACCTGGAAGTGGGCCGGGTGGGACGTTCCATATTGGAGCACGTGAAGGGTGGGGAGAACGATATCTGTATTCAGCATGCACGAAGACGAGTAATAATGCCTAAAAGAGTCTCAAATTAAATTCTTGTTCAGTAATTCGGAAGTGTTATCACTGCACCGCAAGGATTGATTTCCAAAGCACCATATCGTTGTTAGGAACGATCGTTTGTTTTTCTAAAACAGAATACTGCCTTCAATGCAGTGTTGGATTAAGAAGGGTATAAAGTCAGTGTCAAGTCGCATGCTCCCTTTTCCGCAAGCGCAATCGTCACGCGAGGGCTTCGCGCGCCTATAGTCGAATCATTTCATATGATCATGTGTGTTATTGCACACTCAGTCCACCTTAGGCGTTCCTATCCTGGATTCGTGGGAGAAACAACCCTTCAGGTAAGTGTTTTCAATGTGTTCTTAGCATTTTCTTTCCTTTTTAGTTACTAATCACCTCAAATTGAAGTAATCGATAACAATCGGTAAGTCTCTTGCGTTTTTGCGATTGCAAACCCAGGATGAGGACGCCAAAGGTGGAATGTGTGTGCAATCACACACATGATCATATGAAATGATTCGACTGTATGACTTGGGCGTTTGAAGTGGCTTTATCGACGGAAGTACGCATGCGCAGCGCAAGGTCGCGCTGCGCATGCGCACTTCCTATACGAAAGGGAGTACTTGATTGACACATACTGTATACTGTTGAGAACAGCACTAGAGTAGCTTGCAAATGCTAAATACGCTGGATACTTTCCGAAACGTATATATATGGACAGAACTTATTGATTGATCGGACGGCAAATCTTTTTAAGTGCTTTTAAATAAAGCTATCACCTTGGCTTAGAGGTTTTCAATGTCAAATCGTTTCTATGCATTTTCAAATATGATGCTGCATAGTGTATAAACGTTCTTCTTCTTTCTTTCACAAGTTTATCTTGGCCCGAGCAAGCTGCCTACCTTTCGATACAGCATAGAACGCTGATTTCAGATCTATCTTCCATGTCTGCAGAATGCCTTTGTAGGCGAAGTTATGAGCGCTTTACTGCGAAAAATACACAAAAGTTGCAAAATTAGGCACATTATTACCCTTTTAGCTCATCTCTAGATACGGGCCATATGTATGGAGTGACCTACTTGCATGTCTTGGTCCAGCACTGAGCCGACAATGGCTCTGTACAATCAAGTTTGCCTTTTACGCACATGTAATGGTCTTCAACGGCTTATAGCTTCATCTACAAAAGTGTTCTGCAGATAAGAAAGACAGATTTAGAGTCAGCTTTTCAAGGGGCAGGCATACTTCACGCGATTTCAGTCGCGACGCGATTTGGCAATATTCCAACTGTCCATAACTCACTGTAAGCACATTATAAATGTACAGAAGATAGGGAATTTTATCAACCCACGTAAGTTATACGTACTGTGCATGTGCAGTTTGCTAGTGTTGAACCTGTAGACTTCCGGCAAACTGCCAAATCGCATCGCGACCAAAATCGCGTGAAGTACGCCCGGCCCTTTATGCTGCATCTAATGATATACAGCTTGCTTGAATTGGCCAATTCAACTTCTGACCATTCCCTTGTAAGCAAAGCAGGAGGGGGGGGGGGGGGAGATTTGCGGCGTGCTTGACATGTTAAGACGAGTCAAATTCAGGGTGGCGCTAAAGACCGTCCGTGCGAAAAGACTGTCTCCATCAAAGGTACCATTTACTCAAGCTGAAATTATTGAGATTTTGATGCTATACATGTATTAGCGGGGCCTCGACAAGCAAACCTAAAGTTTAGGTGCAAAAATCAAATGCGAAGCGAAAAAAGTGCACCAGAAGATAAAAACGGCTCAGATGGCTCCGCCCATCATCGTGGATGGTCTGAAAATAACAAGTTCAAACTTAAAATTCAAGATAGAGAGAAATGTCGGGAATTTAATAAACAGAGTATATTAAAGCTCGATATTGGACTTGTTATCTGCAGACCACCCAAGTCGGTGGACAAAGCCACCTGGGCCTTTTTGCCTTCTGAAGCATCTTTTTCGCTTTGGAATTCATCTTTGGAACGGGACTGACAAGGGAAGGATACTTGACCGAAGTGGCTTTTTTACAGCAAAGGTATACTGTCTTATGGAGCATGGAACGCTGATTCCGAATCTGCTTTCGGTATCTGCAAAGCGATTCTGAGAGGGCAGTTATGGAAGTTTTTAACGCAAAGATTTCGAGACGCAGCTAAAATTTCAGAGCTGTACTCTCTGTGAGCTTGGAGAGGAACATAGTTACTGCCAGGGCGCTTCGTGCAGTTAATACCTTCATTATTCTAATGAATTTGAGCTAGTCGTTACTCCATTCAAATGCCGGAAGACCTCAACACTCTCTTTTATTAACCAGAACCTTGAGTTTTTGCCTCAAAAGATTGTTATAACTCCCATCCCAAAAGCGCTTTGCAGATACCGAAAGCAGATTTGGAATTAGCGTTCCATGCTCTATAAAAGTGTACATTTCCTGTGGAAACGACTCTTCAACCAAGTATTCTTCCCTTGTGTATCCTTCCCTAGTGAGGCGATTGCTAAGTCAGGGACCCCGCTATCATGTAACATTAAAATCTTTTCAATCTCTATTTGGCGAACTTCCTTGCCCGCTGTGAAAGGTTTGTAGGAGACCTTTCCACTCTAAGTGCTCCAAAATCTCAAAATTTGAACTGCTAGAACCTTACACAGAGATTTGGCATCTTCATGTGCTGATTACGAGAATCTATGCTGTAAACTGACGCGCTTAATGACGCGCTCTGTTTTTCACGAAAATCAGTGAGGAATAAATTACAACTTCCGGAAGCATAAGAAGGTTTCACAAAAAATAGAGGTTTTTCGTTTGAGAACCATTGCTTTAAGGACCTCGACAGCACGAGCCTCTGTGATGCAGAGGTGATGCACCCTTCCTGAAATAACTCACCAAGAGGGCGTTTTGAACTTCAACAACTGCTTTTATATGTCATTTTAAAGGAGCAAAGCGTAAAAATACGCATTGGGTGTTTGTATATGACATATTCAATGAACGTGACGTAAAAAGCGATCAATGAACTTTTTCCAGTGGCATCGGTTTCTTCCGCGACTGCAGCAAGACACGCGCCGTCGCCGCTGCCTGCGGCGCACCAATCTCATTGCCCTAGCGTAAACTCACTTCAGTTGAAATTAAAACTTGATAAGTGAAAATTCCTAGTTAAGCGTCTACTCATCAATCGCAGTTTACTGTGTTTCTGAAAAATGCTAGTGTTTGTCTGATTTGCAATGCAAACATCCAAGTTTCTCATCAACAGTACAGTTGAGCTACTCGATTTCATCCAAACTACCCATCCAACTTCTTTCCTCTCGTCTTTGGATTTCTACATAAGTAACTTTCCAAACGCAAAAAATTGGTTTCACATGTTCTTGCAAGTGTTGTAGGTGAATACTCTATGTTGCTTATGTGGTAGTCATTCTATCTTAATTATTTGGAGATCTCTTTGAAAAATCCTTTGTAAAATGTCTAAGCCTTCACCAAGATTGGTATAACGTTTATTAGGCTAACGTTTCGGCCAACTCGCCTTCGTCAGAGCCTGTAATAAGTGAGTAACATATGAGATCTACTCGCCCAAACGCCTTGTCATCTTGCAGGAAAAAGACAAAAAGTGTACGAAACGACACCTAGGTCGAACAGCTCACCTTAAACTTGAGGTCAAGACCACCCACCACCGAGTGACATACAATGACTGAGTGAGTTAGGGTTCCTGACTTGGAGGTGGTAGGTCAAACCCGCATAAGTCAAGGAACGGCGCGAGCTCATTAGTTGCGATGCTCTACTGACCATCTACGAAACATGCATTTAAGTTCGGGCGAAGTCGTTGAATCCTTTGATGTTACTTCTCTTTACACTAATGTGTCGAACTCTGCCGCGCTACAAGCAGTATTTGAGCTGTTGAGGGAAAATGCCGCAAGTATAAGCTTGTACGGTTTCACAATCCAGCAGATTATGACGCTACTCAAAGGCTGTCTCGACTGCGCAATATTTCGTTGGTCCGGGCAGCACTACCGGCAGATCAGGGGGCTTGCCATGGGACAACGCTTAGCACCTGTGTTGGCTGTTACCTTCATGTCGAAAGTAGAACATCCAGTTTTATGCCGCACACCTACTTTCTATTGTCGTTACATCGATGACTGCCTCATCGTGTGTTCGACCCAGGCAGAAATGGATACCTGTTTCGACCTACTCAACAGTCAATCAGCTGACATAAGGTTCACCAGGGAAAAACCAAAAGACGGCTGGCTTCCATTTTTAAATGTTCAATTACATCTGAGCAAGGGGGAGTGTAAGACTAGCTGGTACAGGAAACCAAGCAGTAAGAACATACTCATACACCACTCTTCTGCGCATCCAGTACGCACAAAGCAAAGCGTTATTAGAAACATGTTGCGAACGGCCAAAGCGGTGTCATCGGATGACCATCTCAAAGCTGCGGCGGTTCAAAAGGCTATTCAGATAGCGCAGGCAAATGGGTATTCTCCATGTAAGAGCGCAAGAGTACGCTGCAGCGGCAGGCTGCTTGGCAGTTCCCCTGAAGGTAAGGATAAGGTATCATTCTGCATTCCGTTCATATCCGATGGGTTTAGTAGCGAAATTAGAGCGTGCGTGCGAAAATCAGGCTTGCAGGACTCGCTGCGAGTAGTTGAAGTTCCTCCTCCTAATCTCAGGCAACGTTTGGTTCGCAACAGAGCGTACGACAGAACCTGTGAAACAAGGGACTGCATCATCTGTACCACCAACAGGCCTGGGGATTGTATGTGCTCTGGCGTCATATACCTGATTACATGCAAGTTATGCGGGGCTGAGTACATAGGAGAAACGGGAAGACCACTGTGCCTGCGGATAAAAGAACACTTGGACGGGTTGCGCAAATCAAGGCTCTCAACACCCCTAGGCACGCATCGTAAGCTGCAGCACCACAACACAGAATTCGACGTCTCAGTGTCAGTTCTGTCTAGAGAAACAGAGGTTGCGGCACGCAAAACATTAGAGGCTGCTGGATTTATTTATTTATTTATTTATTTATTTATCAAATACATCGTAAACGATGCACCACCTCAAAATTGAAATACAAACAGACGACTAAATATGGAGCGGGTGGGAGAAAAAGGCAAGAATGACCTCAAATTTTCTCTCACTTTCGAGTC